CAAAATTTCTTAGCAAAATGTTAGCAAGTGGATTTCATCAGTATATACAAAGAATAACAGACAAAACACAAATGAATTTTTTTTCAGGGATGCAAGGCTGCTTCACTATGTGAAAATCAATTGATGTAATCCACCATATTAGTAGGCTAAAAAAGAAAACCCATGTGATCATGTTAATCTATGCAGAAGGGCCAGCCCCAGGCCGAGTTGTTAAGTTCACGTGCTCCACTTCAGCGGCCCAGGGTTTCACTGGTTTGGATCCTGGGCGTGGACATGGCACCGCTCCTCAGGCCATGCTGAGGTGGCATCTTACATACCACAACCAGAAGGACCCACAATTAAAATATACAACTATGTACTGGGGGGATTTGGGGAGAAAAAGCAGGAAAAAGAAAAAGAAGACTGGCAACAGTTGTTAGCTCAGCTGCCAATCTTAAAAAAAAAAAAATCTATGCAGAAAACATAATTCGCCAAAATTTGACACTCATTCATGGCAAAAACTCTGAGAAACACAGGAATAGTGGGGAACTTCCTTAACAGCTAATAATATGCTTACTGGTTGAAGACTATATACTTTCTCCCTAAGATCAGGTATAAGGCAAGAATATCCACTCTCATCACTTTCATTCAACACAGTCCTAGATGTTCTAGCCAGTGCAATAAACCAAGTAAAGGTAAACGCAATCAAACAGATCAGGAAAGAAGAAGTAGAACTTCTACTATTTGTGGGTGACATGACTATCTCTGTATAAAATTCCACAGAATCTAGCAACAGTCTCCTAAAACTATAAAAGGGGTTCAGCAAGGTCACAGGATACAAGATAAACATAAAAAATCAAATGCATTTCTATGTACTAGCAACGAACATGTGGGCACCTAAATTAAAAATACGATACCATTTACAATGGCTCAAAAAATACCCCAAGTCCTGAGGTGTAAGTCTAACAAAACATGTACTGAACTTTTATGCTGAAAACTACAAAATGCTGATGAAAGAAATAAGAGAATGAAGAGACATCCTGTTGGTAAATTGCAAGAATCAAAATAGTAAATATATCAATTTTCCTCCAATTGATATACACATTTTACATAGTTCCTGTTAGGATTTTTTATAGACATAGACAAGATTGTCCTAAAATTTATATGAAAAAGGCAGAGATGCTAGAATAGCTAAAACAATCTTGAAAAAAGAAGAAGTGGGAGCAATCAGTCTACTTGAGTTCAAACTATAGCTACAGTAACCAAGATTATGTGTTATTGGTACAGGGATAAACATAGAGATCAATGGAAAAGAACAGAGAACCCATAAGTAGATCCACACAAATATATCTAACTGATGATTTTTTTTAAAAGAAATTCCAAAGAAATTCAATGGAGGAAACAAATTTCCAACTTACGATGTTGAAGCAAGTGGTTACATCCATAGGCAAGAAAAATGAACGTTTAAGTCTCACACTTTATACAAAAATTAACTTACAATGGATCACAGACTTAAATGCAAAATGTTAAACTATAAAACTTTTAGAAAAGAGCATAGGACAGAATTTTTGATATATAAGTCTAGGCCAAGAGTTCTTAGACTTAACCACAAAAAGCACAGTCCATAATTTTTTTTTTTAAATGATAAATTGGAATTCAAAATTAAAATCTTTACGTTGAAAAAGACTCTCTTAAGAGGACAAGCTACAGACTGAGAAAATGATTTGCAAATCATAAATCCCACAAAGGACTAGCATACGGAATATATCAAGAACTCTCAAAGCTCAACAGCAAAAAAGGCAAACAATCCAATCAGAACTTGGGCAATGAAATATTTCACTAAGAAAGATATACAGATGGCAAATGAGCACATGAAAATAGATTCAACGTCATTAGCCGTTAGAGAAATGCTGCTTAAAACCACAATGAGATATCACTACACACCTATCAGAATGGCTAAACTAAAATTTCCAATAACTCTGTCTTTCCAGAAGCAGAAGCTCTAACTGTTCTTTTAAAAATTTTATCCATTTTAGTGTACCTGTATTGGTATCACATTGTAGATTTAATTTACATTTTGTTGATGAGCAATGCTATTGAACATATTTTCATAAGCTTATTGGCCATTTGGATAATTTCTTTTGAGGAGTGTAAATTCACATCATTTGTCCATGTTTCTTTGGGCTGTAGGTTATTTGTCTTATTTTTACTGTTTTAAAATTTATAGACAAGTTTACACATTCTGTATGTAGCGTATACTTTAGCCTTGTCTGTAACTTGCTTTTTCACACTCTCAATGTATTTGGGGAACACAAGTATTTAATTTTTAAAGAGTACAATTTATTATTTTTTCTTTTATGGTTAGTGTTTTTTTAGTGTAATTTTAAAGAAATATCTGCTCGCTCCCAAGGTCATAAAGAAATTCTCCCATTTTCTTTTAGAAGATTTACAGTTCCATTTACACATTTAGAGCTCTTATCCATCTAGAATTAATTTTTTATGTGGTATGAGGGAGGGGTCAAGGTGCTTTTAAAAACACGAATAGCCAATTGTTCCTGCACTTATCCTAAAAAGATCATCTTGTCCCCCATTGAATTATATAGGCACATTTGGAGAAAAATCAATTGACAGTGATTGTTTATGGGTCTATTTTTAGATTTGATTCTGTTGATTGACCTGTTTATTTTATCCTCTTACCAATAGACCATTCTGTCTTTATTACTGGGGCTTCATATACATTTCAAAATCTGGAAATGCAAGTCAAACTTCCTCCTTCTGTTTCAAGGCTTATTCTAGATATTTGTACTTCCACATAAATTATAAAATTAGTTTCTCGACTTCTACCACAAAATGATCCTAGTAATTTGACTTAGATTTTGTTGGAATTATGGGTCAATGTGGGCCAACTGATATCTTAACACGTGGAGTCTTCAGATTGATGTGATAGCCTCTTCATTCATGTAGGTCTGCTCTAATTCCTCTTTCTAATGTGTTGTAGCTTTTATTCTAGAGGATTTGCACATCTTCATTAAATTCATTCTCGGATATTTGATAAATGGCATTTTATTTTCCAATGCTTTTAGCTAGAATCTAGAAATAAAATTGATTTCTGTGTTTAGTAACTTTGTTTAATTCATCTATTCTAGTTTTTGTAGTTTGTTTATAGATAATTTTGCATTTTCTGTATATACAAATGTACCATCTATGAATAGAAATGGCTTTACTTCTCCCTTTCCAAACTTTGTATATATTTCCTTTTCCTGACGTGATGCCAGGCTCTCGGTATGAGAGTGAATAGAAGTAGTGATAGTGTCTCTTTGTCTTGTTCCTGACTTAGGAGAAATAATGTTGACTTTGGACATTTTCATAGATACCCTTTATCAGATTCAGGAATTTCTCTTCTAGCTCTGGACTGTTGAGAGCGTTCGTCATGCAAAGGTGTTAGCCTTTTACCAACTTCTCTTCCTGTTTTGAAAGTAAACAAAGTACGTTATTTTGGCTTTCATCAAGCAAGTAAAGATAACTTCATTTCATATGGTCGTGGAGATAATACAATCTTCTAAAATTCAAGACTCTGAAAAGTATCGTTGGAGTCTTTTGTTCAAAACATTTTCCATAAAATTGGAAAATTCTATTTAGAATCATTTGAAGAATTGCTCATCGTAATTTCTCCTACTAAATTCATGAACAGTGACTCATCTGCTCACTCAGGCAACAGGAAATTCCTGAGTGCCTAGTCTCTGCCAACCTCTCTTATAAGCATTGAATAATAATTGGCTTTTGAGCCAAGCTTTAAATACAAGATTGGAGAGAAAAGGAAAATTAAAGAGAAGCCACCAACTGAGAAGCATAATGGGGATGTTAGAGAAATAAATTAATAAAAAAAATTAAAAATGTTCCTTGGAGTTTTTGGAGTGTTGGGAGAAAACCAAGATGAGTACAAAGGTATTACAACTCCCATGTCCACCTTCAGACCTGAGGAAAGCGTCTCTCAGAAGTTCGCAGGCTGACCTTTGACCTGGTTTGAGTTCTGCAGTTCATCTGTTCAGTCACAAGAGGGAGCTGCTTCATCTGCAAACTTCGTTCCTTCCTGGGAGAGGGAAATGTAAGCTTATATTTTCCATTGATGTTCCACAGAAAACAGGAAGAATGACGTATTTCATCCTCTTTGATGACTCATACTTTATAATCTCTTGCTGAGTGTCTGTGGTCAAGGATTCAGGGACCTTAGCCCAATAGGCTGAGCCCTTTCCCTGTATCTCCCTAAACACTTTCTCTCAGTTCCCCTCCCCTGATGACCCCTTACCTTGCCCATTGCTTATACTCTTTTTTCTTCCTTCCTCTAGCCTTTTCTACTATCCCCACCTCCCTTCTTTGTTTGCTTTCCCTTCTCTCTTTTCTTTCTGCCTCAGCATCGTTGGTGCCCAGCACCCATAAGCATGGGCTTAGATGAGATGAGTATTAAGGACATTTATTCCAGGAAGATGAGAGTAAGCACCATGCAAGTCATCAGTTACTCTATCAAGAATAGATGTATTGAGAAATGTCTCCCTGGACGTCAGCAGATACAGGATTCCAGGGAGCTTTGTAGGAAATATAAGCCCCAAGGGGTTTATCTTTTAGTTTCAATGTTATTAATCGTTCCTGTCCCAATGAGCACATCATTGCCTACTTTTGAATCTCACATGCATTTTCTGGAATGTGCAGGGAGATTTTCATCTTCTTATAGCACAGACTTCAGAACAGTTTTCTGGGATTAAAGAATCCTTACACGAGCTCCGTGTAGCATCACTCAGTTTCTTTGGCACATTGAGGAAGAAGTGATGGAAGAAAGGTGCTGAATAGACACCTCCTTGTGGTTGTTTTTCCTTATCCAGAGCCAAACATTAAGCCTCACAAATAATTTCACTGGGCACCCTATGAGTTGGGGATGTCTGGTTGATAGTCTCACCTTCTTCTTGGGGAAATGACTTAAGCAGAAGAGGAAGATCTGGACAAGGAACTTCTCTCTCATTGGCTGACAAGGTCTGGCAACAACACAGTGGTAGCTGCACTCCTTGTAGGTCTTTACTAGTAACTGTTTCTTCTGTTCTCTGGAACCTCTTTAAGCCTAGGATCAGACACAAAGACTGAGCTCCGGGCCCATTATCCCAGTTTGTCCTTGAAGTATGAGGCTGGTGACTGGAATAACTGTGTTTCTGATTTTGGGTAAGTGATCTGTGTCTACCAAGGGATGGCTTTGAGGCCAAAGAAACTTGAAGAATTATTTGCTGTCTACTCCTCTCCCTATGCTTTATCCATCATGCTATGGATGGAATTGAGAACTGATCTATGCATTTATCTAGGAGCACAAACTTCTACATGTCTAAACCATAGCCATGATTCCAAAAGAGCCTTTAGCAGTATCCAGGTTGTAAGAAATCTCTGGGTTCATTGAGCCAAGGGCCCATGGAACAGAGCCTGTGGAGTCTCTGATTCTTAGCATATATCTTTGGTCTCCATAATGAACACCAATGATATTTTTGTGTTCTAGCAGGATATAAATAAAAGCACTGGAGTATGAGGTAGGGTCAGAGACTTATGGGAGTGTTGTGCCCTTGATCCATAGAATTACTTTGATTTGTGGTCTGGAGCTAATTTGATTTTCTTGACCCCTTAGGGACTGTGATTGATGCTAAGACCACCCAGCCCAATTCCATGGATTGTACTGAAGGAGAAGATGCAAACCTGCCTTGTAACCACTCTAGCATCGGTATAGCTGATTATATACACTGGTATCGGCAAAATCCCAGTCAGAGTCCGCAGTATATAATTAATGGCTTACAAGGCAATGTGACCAACAACATGGCCTCTCTGACCATCGCAACAGACAGAAAGTCCAGCACTTTGATCCTGCCCCGGGTCACCTTGAGAGAGACTGCTGTGTACTACTGCATGCTGAGAGAGGCACATTGAGACAGATGGGGCTGCACCTGTGCAAAATCTCTCTGGAGGCAAGAGGGGAGGGTGGGAGGTAGGAGCCATCAAGAGCAAATCTGGAACCATTTAGAAGGAGAGTCAGAGAGCAATAAGAAAGGAGGAAAATGAAAGGAAGGAAAAAGGGAGAAGATCGATAAGGAAAAGGAGAAAGACAAGATGAAGGGCGAGAGGACAGAGAATAAAGACTTCATTTGTTGATGTGGCTGAGAAGAATTATGAGGAGACTAAGAATCATAATTAACATAGCAATCAAGTGAAAAGGTAATAATAATCTGTCGTGGCTCCTCCTCATGTCAATAAAATGTTAGTTTCAATGTGTTCATCTCAGTATAAAAGACGAGGAAAATAAAGATAATTTTACTTGTCCCAAAGTCTTCTTTCATTTGGACCCAGGGGCAATCCAAACCCTGAAATGCATACTATTAGAATTGTTCCGCTTAGCAGAAACAAATTACTCTTTCGCTGAGAAAAAGCTGAACTGTTTTTTGCTGCTAGTCTAGAGCATGAATATTTGTGATGAATAAAATTTGGGGGGGAAAGAAAGAAAAATTAAGTGGCTATTAATTTGTTTTTATTTGTTTAGAAGTCCTGCATCTCTAAAGAGTTTTCATCATTTTTTGATATTCCCTCAGCAACACACAGATCTAGCTCATCATAAAAGGCTCAGACAGAGCGAAAGTGAAAGCCCACGGCTGTTATCTCCTTCATTCCACCCCAGCTCCCACTGTCCTCTCAGAGAAAGCCAGTGCTGATAGCTTAAGGTGTATCATGCCAGCCTCTTTTCCTTCAATTATATATATATATTATATATATATATATGTATTTGCATATAATTTTAAGCAATTACATACACATTTACACACATATATACACACACAAACAGATGGATTTATTTGACTTTTTTTGCAACATGCCTTTTGATTTTCATTCAACAAAGTGTCCTGGAAATATTTCTACAGTATAAAAAAGTACAGAAGTCCACTCCATTCTTTGTGATGCCTATTTAGTACTTTGAAACATTCCATCATTTAATTAATTATTTTCCTATTGATGCAAATTTGTTTCTATTTCTTTGCTATCATAAAGAATGTTGTCTTATACATCTTTGTAGATTCATTTTTGGATGGATGTGGAAGTCTATTTTAACAAGATTTCTGAAATTGGACTTTCTACGCCAAAGGCAAATTGCGTTTAAAATTTTTGGAGAAAGTGACAACTTGCCCTCCATAAGATGTTAAACGATTATACTCCACCCAACAGTAAATGAAAACGCTCATTTTACATCCTCGCACAAATTGGGAATTATGAGTATTTTTTATTTTAACAATCCAAATATACCTTACATGTATGCATTTCCTAATTCCTCGTGTTTTTTTGAAATTATTTCTCCATATATTGGCACCTGTTCGGCCTTGGTCATACGGTTATTCCTAACTTTTGACCATTTTTCTATTAGGTTCTTTGTCTTTCTCTTTTTATTTGTAAAAGTTACTTCTATATCTTAGATAGTTCTTTGCTTTTATATTTGTTTGAATATTTTATTCTAACATGGTATCTTTTGTTTATTTTTTAATGTGGTTGTTTTTAATTTTTACATTGTCAAATCTATCATGTATTTATTTATTTTTTTGGCTTCAAATGTCGGTGTCATTTTGGGAAAGCCCTAAGTATATTATATCTTTTAATCTTCATTACCATTTGGAAAAGGATTATTCTGAGACTTATGTTACATATTAGAAAACTAAACCTCAAAGACATTTAAAACTTGTCAATATTCACAATCTTACTAAGTGTTAGCACCAACTTTTTAATTTGTTTTTAAACCTGAGATTGTCAAGCTCCAAAATCTGCATATATGCTGTTCAATCTTGCCTTATGGGAAGCAACAGTAAGAAGGAAACCCCCAAATGATGAATCAAATGGAAAATCAGTAGAATGGATCATAGTACCCATCACAGAAGGTGACGCACATTTTAGAGCAAAGTGAAAAAATCTTACAGTAGGAATCATGAATTATGAGTTGAGAAAAGCAATGGTCTCTTATCATATAAATAGGTAGTGCTAGCCCCCTAAATATTCAAGCGGCAGTAGAAATACATGTTGATTTTAGAGAGATTCTGAAGCATCCTTAGCTCTGTGTTACCCACACATTTTCCCAAGTGGAAAGGATATAGAAGAAATTAGTACACAAGGCAGAGAAAATAGGAGCAAAGGAGCTCCGAACCTTGATGTGAGTGGCATTCAGGATTTTCTTGGATCTTCACAAAGACTCAGAAATTTGTCCTGGTACATAAGATGTGTACATAAATGTAATTGCTCTGCTTATCATACTTTGGAAATTGCTTGGATTCTATGAGTGAGGGATGAGGGAGCAGATATTTGTATTCAAGTCTTAGAAAGTACAGTGGGAGGTGCTAGTAGCAGTTTCCAAAGATTAGCATAACTCTTTGTTACTTTTTTCACTCATTTCCTCATCTTCACAGCATTTGACCTCACTTTCCTTTTGTTCCAGGTCTGTCCTCTGCATTTCTATATTTGAAAACAAAAATACAAAACATATTTTCTTCATCTGTTTTGTTTACTGAAGTATCCTCAGTAACTAACACAATACCTGACAAATAGTAGATGCTCAGTAAATATTTACTGTAGAAATAAATATTCATGACTGAAAATTTTACTGACAAATGATAGGGATACAATAAAATACTGGGGGTATGAGATCTTCTATAAAAATATTACAAAGAGCTCAAGAATATCACAAGCATATAGCAATGAAGGTAAGAATATATTCCAAAATCCTTATTGAGTCATGTACTGATTAATTCCTTCCTCCCTATTTTCCTTGCTTCTTTCTTCCCTCCCTCTCTTTTTTTCTTTCCTTTACTCCTTTTTCCAATCATTATTGGTAAAATAGTTCCCCCAAGTATTTCGTTAAGCTCTTTTTGTGAAACTTCAATTCATTCCAACTCAAAACTCTGTGTCTGTGACATTCTTCACAGATCTTGCCAAGTGGTATAAATTTCTCCTTCTTCTATTGAAATTATTAATATATTGACAATCCAACGCCAGATATTTTGAAAAGTTAGAATGGCTTTTAGCTAGAATCTCCTGGAAAGGGGCAGAAAATTCTCCTAACTCTACAAGAAAGGAAACAGAAGAAAAGAAAACAAGACATTTAGGCATCAGTTGATACTCCCAGTGAATCCGGTGCCATCACTACAAGCCAGTGAGGCTGTAGAAGTCTCACGTGACGATCAGCAATGCTACGCCCCCAAGAGACACAGCGCTTGCCATCCTAAAGTAGAGAACACATTTAAATAGACTTTTCTTACATTCTTTTCTTTTTCATCCCTGTTCAGAAATACTCCTCTACCAATCAAAAAGATTTTGAGGCGGTTTTTGCACCGAATGTTTTCTGCTTTGAAATATGTTGCTAAACTTATCTTCTTAAATTACAAAATTAACAAGCACTTGTTACCGAACACATACAGGGGTTTGTTACCCAATGTGCAGGAAAGCCAATAATTGAAATGTCAGGCTTTTAGCAAGGAGAGGGGTTTATTATCAAAAGGCAGCCAGGCAAAGAAATGCGAGTCAAAACTCAAATCCACCTTCTCAAAGGGAAAAATGTAGGGGTTTTTATTTGGTGTTTCGGGAAAGGGGAGGGGAGCATGTGGCCTTGCTGGCTGTCTTCTTCAGCCTGTGTTTGGTCTTGGAGATTGAACGTCTTTTTTCCTTGACCCTCTGGACGTCTCTGGTTGGTTTTCATCCTGGGCCTGCGTTTGGCCTTGTGAAGCTGAATCTAATTTTTTCTTGACGTCTAAACCTTGACTTCTTGGGAAAAATAGGTCACTCATATACTAAAGAAGGGAAGAAAGACCTGGTTAGTTTTAAATAACAGTTGATTGTGCTGAGTATGCACAGCTGCCTTTAGCAAAGTTTACCTCACACTTTTTTTTCTCTCTTTTAATTCGTTCATTCTCAGTTCATAGTTTTTAACTGAACTATTATTCGTTCTACACCGAGTTCAACCATCAGAGATTTACCTTTACTAGATGATCTCACTGGAAAACAGCAAGAGTTAAGAATTCTGAGCTTCGTTGGCACATTATATCTTTTGACTTTTACTTCCTACAAATAACATAGATTTACTCAGGAGGAGCCCATTAGCAGTGCACACTGAGGACCCTGATGTTCTACTCACTCCACCTGTTAAGCACGTCTGAGAGACTGATTCCAAAGTTAGGAGAGTATTTGATTTGTTCCACCAGAATTGTGTGAAATAGCAAACACACTAAATGATTTTCAAGTTAACTGACCACCAGAAATACATAAGAGATGAGAATTTTGTAAGAAATAAAGTAACAAATATATATATATGCATATGTATACATATATATATATGGCACATGGAAAAGAAAATATCCTGAGCACAAAGAGGGAGAGAAAACTTCTAAAAATAATTTATTTTGGAATTAGAACAAAAGTTTAGAAAACTACATCATCAATGTAATAAGTGTGTTGACTGTAAAACATAAAGCAAAAAATGTAAAAGTAGAGAAAAAACTGAAATAAAAGAGAAGAACAAGTTGAGCAGAGGGAGATAGATGATAAAAGAAATTGTGAGAAAACTAACACTGAAACAGCATTACAATAAAAATTGAAAAAAAATTTGCACCATTTGACAAGTGTAAAAGATGATCTTTTCAATAAATGGCATTTAATAATTATCATATGGAAAATATATATGTTGACATTTAGATCATGTGTAAATAGCTGTTCATATGTAGTGCAGATCTGAATGTAAGAATAAAATATAAAGCTTGTAGAAGAAATACAGAAATTTTCATAACTTTGTGTTAGATAAATATTTCCTAAACAGGATACAAAAATATTTAAGCACCAAAATTGGATGAGATTAAAATTGCCATTAAAATTGTTATTTCAAGAATTAAAAGAATGACCATGAATAGAAGATATTTGCAGCAAATATTATTTTCATAGGCTCCTTTTGATTTACAAAAGCAAAAGATCTTCAAATCAGTAAGAAAACAACCAAACTGATAGAATAGGAAAAGTCTTAAGCAATCATTGCTCCAAAGAATGTCAAGTAAACATGTCATTTCTATAAGGTACAGAAGCAGACATACTAATCTATACTGTTAGAATTCAGGACGGTGTGACCCACGGGACAATAGCATCAAGGTCAAAAAGGGAGTTCTGAAGTGCTGATAAGGTTCTGTTTCTTGATCTGGATGCTGATTATAAGGGTGTGTCAATTTTGTGAAAATTGATCAAGCTATGCATTTATAATATATTTACACTTTTTTATATGTATATTATATTCCAATAAAAATTTTAAAATGATACGATGGCCTCGTATTAATTAAAAGGTGATATGTGAATTAAAACTAAAAGTTCAAATGTTTTAATTGTAGCTTTCCCTTTTTGTGCCTGAAATACTTGAGTAAGAACACATTTGTTAAAAAAGCGTGACTTCAGACCGTGAGTAAGCTCTGGCCCTCTATTAAAACACCATGGATGAGAAGTGTGATAATGGTCTTTTTCCTCTATCTGAGATACAAATGCAGGATGTTTGGCCTTTGATATGTGGTCCAAGGAGCCTAGCTATTGATATTTTCGATTAATAGGAAAAGTAGAAAAATCTACTGAATAGGGAAGAATGATAAATCTCTCGGTATACTTAACATCGTATTGATCAGAGCAGAGTACATGGTGACCCCAAGCTGCAAAAGTCTGGGGAAAGTATGTATTTTTACCTAGGAACAATGTTAACTAAAAGAACATCAGGATTCTCTTAGTAAGGATGAAGAAATAAATCCACTATTTGTAGGGGAAAAGCAGTACCTGTCATAGTCTTAAACATTAAAGGGCTCGCATAGCACTGTGGTATGTTATGTGGTCAATAAGATTTCTTTGCCATAATTAGCATTACCCCAGAATTCGGCGCATGGTTCCAGTTTGCTGCAATGGTGGCTGAGGCAGTTCATCCTGTCTTTGGATCTGAAAGGCTGGGGAAATAGAAGAGAGGAATGTGCTGATTGATGGCATTTATAAAAGAGCTTTGGGATGATTGTGTTTAGACTCCCTATTAGGTCAGGAAGCAAGAAAAGGCAAGAGAGGGATGATGTTCAGAAAGAAAGTAGAGGGGTCAGATATTTAAATTACCAAGAGATAGGGAAACCAGAAAGAAGATTCACAATCAACCTGAATCAACATTCCAAACTCTTCCAGCACGTTACAGCCTCCATTGCAGAGACCCAGGCAATTGTTTACAAGCAATGAGTGCAGTGATCACGGGGCTCCAAGCATTGTGCTCCAGGTGTGCCCTCTACCATGTGGGCTTTGAAGTGAGGTAGAGAGACTTTTCTCCAGTGTCTCTGTCTTAAATAGAAGCACATGCAGATTTTGCAATGTAATGTAATGTAGTGTTGTGTAATGTAATGTAATGTAGTGGATGAGAGCTGAATCCCAGTGGACAGCCAGAATTTACTGATTTATGACACTTGCTGAGAGACTTGAGCACAAACTGACCTTACTGTGGCCGTGTTCCTCTGTTAGGACTCCTTGGAAGCACATTCAGTCCTACCCGTGATTGACGCCTTCCAGAGAGGAATGATTCTCCAAGGTATCTGACTCTTTTATTTTCTAAATTGGCCTAGCTGCCTCTGACCTTCCCATGGAAATCTTTCCACTTTGGCCTGTAAATCCCCATTTTGTTGTAAACAAACATTTAACAGCCCCTGTGAAAATTCCTTCCACATGCTTTCACTGAAACCCGGCTCTGTTTGGAATACAGTTTCTTTCTCTTGTCCTTGTTCCTTATTCTCTCTCATCTACAACATCTCAGATTTAGAGACAGGAACAGCATTCTCTTCACCCCCTCCAAAAGACCCAGACTATTGCTTCTGCACTTTTGATACCCAGGTCTCTCACCCCTACTTTTCCCTACCAATTTTTCACTACCATCTTTATAAACATCAGAGTCTCTTCCTTATATATTGAAGACAACGCAGCTCAGAAGATTCCACTGTAACCTAAAATACCACATGACTTATATGTCCACGTGGACAATTCAGAGAGAAGCCAGAATGCATCAACTTTAAAGACTGTTCACTATCCCTTTTAGTCATTAACTCCCATGGCCACGCTCTAGAAAGATCTCATGATAAGTCTCTCGTTAGAAGCTGCTCCTCCTCTGAAATCTTACACCCTTTTTAAAACCTCACATCCTTAGATTCTTACACTTAGTTCCTTCTACAGCACTTGTTCTTTGACAATATACAATCATTTAGTCCCTGATCCCTTTATTGTCATCTTATTTCTCAGAGACTTCCTATCTTTTATTTTCTAATCTAAACACCTAAACTCTATGGTCCCACTTCAATCAATCTTCAGTCATTAATCCTATTGTTCTTGCCTCATTTTTCTGCCCTGTCAGTGATTTTATTAATTCCCCATCATGGATCAATATCTGCCTGCTTATAATGTATACTTTGTCTGTAAAGCAGAGTTCAAGATAATCACACAGGGGTGCAGACCGGTGTCATTGAAACCTGCTGTCATCTTCAACAAGTAGGCCCCCAGTGTTGCCAGGAAAGCATCCTTTCTCTCTATAATTATCTCCCATTGTCATTTCCAACAGTGACTATTTCAAAACATCTCTTACTCCTCAGACTCACTAACCCAGAACCTTGTCCATTCCTTCTCCTGGAAGGCACTTAATTCTATTTATAAAAACAAAAAAGATCTTGTTAGAAATTAATAGATGTTTCAACTTCCTGCCTTCACATTCTGAAAAATTACTGAAATCTACACCAATCATTTCCTCCTTCATTCCAATAAAATTGGAAATAACTGTTCCTCCTTGTACCAAAACTTGGCCCTTCTACCTCTGCTCTATATTCCAGTCCTATTTGTCTCCTCAGAACATTGATCCATTGCTTATAGATCTTTCCAACAGCATGTAAATATCCGAATGTTCAAAAACCCTACTATTACCATTTCAACATCCCTGCTGAAACACCATGTCTCTTTCCTCTACTTCAGAGTTCAACCTCAGGAAGGAGATTTCTATATTCAGATTTCCTTCTTCCTTGTCTAACCTTCATGCCTCATCCACTACAGTTTAGCTTCTGCTGAAAAGACTCAAATCATGATCTTTTTTGGTGTTAAAAATCAATGGACACTTTTTAATAATCATCTTACTCAGTAGACATTTCTTCAGCATTTGCTCTGTTGGACATTCCTTCCTTCTTAAAACTCCTTTGGCCTTTTCTTTCAGAACACCCGTCATTTCTGATTTGCCACTTACTACTCTGGACTATCCTTTGAAGTTTCCTTGATACTTTTCCCATTGCACATCCACTCAGTGTTTGCGTTCCTTGAGGACTGTCTTTAGTTTCCATTCTCTTCTGAGTTTTGCTCTGAGTGTTTGTCTTGGTGAAATTACATCTACTCTTAAAAGGTGGGACTATCTCATAGACAACATAGAGGCGAGGAGTGGGGCTTGGAGTCCAATAGAATTAGTTCTAGTCCTTGTGTGTCCTTGGACAAATTAACTTCATAAGACTTCATTTCCTTTCTATTAAGTGAGGGTTATATCTACTCTAAAGGGCTATAGTGCTAAATTATCAGTGGTTAATAATGTGGATTCTTGAATCATACTAATGGGACAAATTCCAGTTGTCATTTATTGTGACCTTGGACAATTCACATCCTTCCTTCCATGCTTCAGTTTCCTCGTTTATAAAATAAGGATGATGATATGATCTACTTCATAAGATTAAATAATGCTACTTAATTCATAAAATGAAAGATCCTCTTAATAAGTAGACTCCTGAAAACACTCTCATCAGATTACAAAACTGAGAAATTCAGGTCTAGATGGGAGCAGCAAGGAGACTGGGCACAAAAACCTTCAGACTCAATTTGTGTCTATATTTGACCTCTAGGGGGCGATGTTGCATAAACTGGAAATGCCGCCTCTAACAAAAGTTCTACCCCGCTCTTAGAAGCCTCTTTACCTCACAGCTCACTGTGGGGCACATTCTGAGTAGACTCAACACCGGAAACAGTCATTGTCAAGGGAGCAACTCTTACTAGTAGTCTGTAGAACTTACCTAAACAGGGATCTCTTGAATCTCAGATTTTCTCAGTTACGAGGACTCAGCATACTCTGGCATATTCCTTCCTGCTCCTCAGGGAAGATCTTCCAGGATATAGCTCTCAGCTTCCTCACTGCCTGGCCATGTTCTCAGTGACCATTCTGCTGCTTGGAATGCTCTTAACAGTGAGTAAGTAACATTGTAGTTCCTGCTCCTGCCTCCATAGAAGGTACATTGTTCCGATTAAATCTGAATAGCGACACTGTCTCCTTACTGATAGATCTGTCTGTCTTGTTCTCACTGACTCAGTATTGATGTTTCAGGAGGAACTGGAGCCCAGTCAGTGACCCAGCCTGACGACCACATCAGTGTCTCTGAAGAAACCTCTCTGGAGCTGAAGTGTAACTATTCTAGTGGAAATCTCTATTTCTTCTGGTATGTCCAGTACCCCAGCCAAGGCCTCCAGCTTCTCCTCAGGTACTCTTCAGGGCCCACCTTGGTTAAAGGCATCAAAGGTTTTGAGGCTGAACTTAAGAAGAATGAAACCTCCTTCCACCTGAGGAAATCATCAGCCCATTTGGGTGACTCAGCTGTGTACTTCTGTGCTGCGAGTGACACAGTGACTGAGACTGCAGAGGGAGCTGAACATAAACCTCATGAGACACTGGAGTTTTCAGAGATTCAAGGACACAGCTCAACCTGTTTTTAGCAAGGTCTCTCATTTGATGAAAGTGAGCAGAGTGGGGAGCAGAGCCCTGGGGAGCACTTGGCTCCTGAGAATAAAGAAGAAGTTCAATGTGTTCTTTGTTTTACTACTGGGTCATGGTAAACAAGCCCTAGAACAGAGAAACGTATATGGATATTCTCCTTCAACTTGAAGATGCTGCATTCTAGAGGTTCAGGATTCTAATTTAAGGTGACCAATACTGACTTCTGATGTTTCACCTTCTGAACTCATCTCCAGCATGCTCCTCTCATTACCTTTTGCTTTTCAATTGATAGCACCTCCATTCTTTCAGTATCTCTGGTCATAATCTCAGAGTCGTCTTTGACACTTTTCTCTTGCTGCTTACATCTGTCAAATTAATAACAGAAATCTCATGAAATTGGAGTTGGGAGGCCCAAAGGGGGAGCTCTCATGCCCTATATCAATAGCAGAGCCCAATAGTAAGAAGACAGACTTCCTCTTCTTGATCAGCAAGAAGCTCAGCCAATGAGATACTCTCAAAACTCAGTCAATGAAAAGCCACTATGTGTCAAACCCTCAATTCTTCCAATGGGCTCTATTTACAATAGCCCTCCCAACTGCCTCTTCCCTTTTATAAAAGAGTTTCTCTTCCCTTGCTGCTGATGGACTTGCACGTGGGTCACCATGATTGTAGACCCAAATTGCAATTTTTGCCGATCCCAAATAAACCCATTTTTGCTGGAAAAATAAATGGCTATCTGCTTGTTTAAGGTACACAGATCTAATCTGTTATGAAATCCAGTTGGCCCTATCTTAGAAACTGATCCATAATCTGACCACTGCCGCTATTCCATGCTACCTCTTTGCTCAAGTCACACTCATCTCTCAAATGAATTACTGACACCCACTTTAAACATAACGTCATAAATAGATTAAAAGTAAAAGTATTGAAAAAATATCCATGCAAACACTAATCTGGAAAGGCTATATTAATGTCAGACAAAGTAGACTTTAGAAAAGCAAATATTACAGAAATAAACAGGGACAGTACATAATTATAAAAGGACCAATTTACTAAGAAGACATAACAATGTGAATGTGTACACCCTTAACAACAGAGCTTCAAAATACTTGAAGATAAAACTGTTAAAACTGAAAGGAGAAATAGACAAATATGCAAGTACACTTGGAGACCTTGACCTTTTTTGCTCAATAAGTAATAGAGTCAGTATTTAGAAACCAGCGAGAATACAGCAGACCTGCACAACACTATCAAACAATTTGACCTTACTAATATTTATAGAAAACTTCACCAAACAACAGGAAGCAATGCTTAGAAGGAAATTTATAACAGTATATGTTTACATTACAAAAAGGAAAAGTTTCAAATCAATAACCTCATCTCCTTGGGTGCGTCTCAGGTGGTGATGTCCTACATAGAAAAGAAAATTCTCAGAAATCCAGGAATCACTAGTCTATACTGAGTTCAGGAAAACTAGAGTATTTTTGGCTGTTACTGCAACAGGTACCCAGCTAGAAGATGTTGTGCCTTTTACCACTTACATCGCTTTCCTGTGCTGACAGATTAAATAGAGATAACCTTTATTCACATCAGATGCCACAATTGTGGAACAGGTCATGAGCCTTCCTCGCACGTTAATGGTCTCGGAAAGAATACAAGAAAAGCTGACTCCATTATCTTTTTAGAAATTACCAGTTATGAAGATGATCTGCCACAAAATGAATGTTGCTATACACATGATGAATGAAGCAGAACATTATAGGGCACCTTACAATGCATCTATATAATTTCACACAAGGCGAGACATCATTAACAGTTACTTGGAGCTGTGCAACTGTGCTTTCCCTTAGCCTTTGAAGGGACAGGATCATAAATGTTCAAGTCATTCAGTGGGTCAAGTAGAAACAAGTAAGACTAAGAGGGGAAACCACGCCTCAGGCTAGGCCACAGATTAGCTGGGAGCAGAATGCCAGGAGTCGATGTGAGGAGGACATAGCCCTTCTCCATTGCGATGTGCCCATTCTTCTCATAACATTTTGCTGAGTGTATCTCAGTATAAAAATAAAACAACATGATGACATTTCATTTACCTGCCAGAAGCATTTGGAACATGATAGAACAAAAGAATCAGTTTTTCTGTATTCTATTTGATCAGTATTGTGTGAAAATCAATTTTTCTTCTGTAGGTGGATCTAAAAGGGTATACAGGAACTCTGTGCTTTCTGTTCAATTTCTCTATAAACCTAAAACTGTTCTGAAAATAAAATCTATTAGCTTTTAAAATACTAATTTTCATATAGAAGCTAAAAAGAAAAAAGACAAGTCAATTGTATGAGCTCCATTTGATGGAGAATATTTACTACAAGCAACTCAAATCATTTCCTACTTTCTTGCCCTGCCTACCCTCTTCAGCTATTTTTCCTGGTGCTTCGCTTCTCTAATTGTGTATTTACTGTGCAGAATATCTTACGCAAGACTATTGGCATATATTTGTAATGCAATTATTGCTAAAATATGGAAAGTAGAAATTATCCCTGTTAATTAAAGCAATATAATAAGTCATAAAAGTGGGTAGCTTTATGGATTGGATGGACATGTGTAAACGTCTCAACTCTATCAATTGAATTACAGTGAAGAAGTTGATAAACATTTTAAATCTCAGTTTCATCATCTGTATACTGTGATAATAATAATGATAATCCTTGCAGAAGTTGTTTTAATGATCAAACAAGAAAATATCTTTCAAGGGCTTAACTCATATTCTAGCAGAGTATAAACACAATAAATTTTTATAGGTGAAAAATGGGGGCCCAGAAAACACAAATGATTTTTGTCTTGATCACACATCTAGTACACTATGGAGAGTGGACTGTTTTCTGAATATTCCTGGCTTTGAATTTAAGCCAAGTATTTTCAATTTATGTTACCACTGGTGCATTATCTGACACACGTGTATTGAGACTAAAGGATAGGCAGGATGGAAGTTCTGAAACAACAGAACACGTGTCATCTGTTCAGATATCCAGCCACCCAGATAGAGATTCTCCTGATCCTGTTGAATACTGGGCAACAGACCGATGGAGAGAGCCAGGCACAATTTTCTCTAACCTTTGATTCATTTGTTGTCCTAGATCTGAGTAACATCTCTCGAAGGTTATAAACAACTTGTTCTTTACAGCTACTTCTCCTTGTGCTGATGAAATGGACAATCATTTCTCTCTGTCCTGACACAGCCCTGATTATTAACTGGGGTCAAAAAAAATCTTTTCTTCTGCTACAACATCAACTATGTGCAAAGTTTTCTCTATTTTCTCAAGACTGTGTGGAAGGCAATTAGTAAGAGATGAGACAAAGACAGTTCGATTTTTTCCATTATTCAATGGTTGAGATTCTACGTAAGTGAAGTGGGACACTGGCAGTTACCTGCCCATCCCTCCTGCATTGTGTGAGCTTCAGTTCACTAAAACCTCAGTCTGTAACAGCTCTTCAAGACTTTCTCTCTCACTGTCAGCTGAACAGTATTTCTGGGGTTGACTGAGCTCACTGTGATGTCTGAGATCAACTGGCTGTTGGCTGGTCCAGAACGGCCTTGTCCAGGATAACTAAAAATACTCTTCTCCATCTACCTCACCTTCCAGCAGCCTAGGTCAGGCATAATCTCATGGTAATCACGGAGGAGCCAGAGCAAGAGTTGAAACATGAGAGTATCTTTTCAACTTCTGCTTCCATCACAACTTGCAATACCAAATTGGCCAAAGTAAGTCTCAGATTCCCATATTATTTCACAATGTATTATACATGCATTGTGTTAATACATAGGTATTATATATATGTAGCATATGAGTATCTATATATCTGTCTCTCTATATATAAAACACATACACACACAATTTATGTATATTCCACAACAGTCGAGGCTGTTTGGAAAAAAATAGTAATATAAAATGACATTATATACTATATTTTAATATATAACATATTTATCTATATATGTATTTTGTATATTTATTGCATAAGGTTATATATTATATTAATTCAATTTTTTATTATTTATTTTTAATTGATTTTTTTCCCACTTTTCCCTATTTCTCCTGCCTACTAGCACCTCACAACCACTTTTCTGCTCTCTGATTCTATGAGTTCAGTTTTTTCTTTAAGATTCTACCTACAAGTGATATCATGCAGTTCATTTCAATTTCAAAAAATTTGGAAATCTGGATGAATATCAGTCTAGTTATTTTATTTTACATTCATGTTCATAACAAAACTATTTTAACACCCTAAGTCAATGAATCAAATACCTTTCTTATTTTAAGATATATTTCAGATGATTATAAATTATTCCAACCAGTTGTAAAGATCTGTTCCAATGGACATTTCTCACTCCAGTTGCCACTGTACTTACCCTATTTCATGTTTATGTATGAAGGGGGCGATAACATGGGAATATATTGATGCCTTCTCCATATTCCTAAGGCAATAGGAAAAGCAATTCTACATACAATTTCATCCCTATTATTTTTGGTCAAGTTCTTCATACTACAATATTAGCATTTCATTCATTCCCACAGTTATCAATCTATACCCTTTTCTTATTTGGTATATTTGAGAAGCAGCATTCATAAAGAGCTACCTTCTACAGTTGACCTAGCTATGAGTGTGCTATGTCATCTTGAATAGGTGATCGACTTCCTAGTATCTTATACTAGGACTTCATGTGTCATGCACGGACAATAATTTCCAACTAACATTGCTCTTGGGTTTTATTCTTTCCAACAGTGAACAATTATTCGTTTAGTACCTGCTAAGCTGTATATACATGTAACATGCTGGAAAAAAAGAGCTATAAGAAAATGTATAGCATCTTCTCTCGTTGAACTTATAGTGTAGTTAGTTATACAGGTAGCTCATCATACAATGTAAAGTGGGACAAGGACTAAGCTTGGGAAAGCAAAGGGTGATATGAAGGCCTTAAAGAGCCCCACCCAACCCCAGTCTTAGCAGTGAGTCAGAGACAGCCTGAGAATGTGATGCCTAAACTGACACCTGGAATTTTACTAGGAGTTAATCAGGTTAAAAGGCAAAAGAGTGAGGGAAGTGATCTTAAAAATAGAAACAGCACATACAAGTCAATAGAGATCATAGTGAATTTCAGGAATGAAAGTCAAGGTTATGCTATGAATAAAATTATATATATAGTATGAATAAAATTATATATATAGTATGAATAAAATTACATGTAGAGAATTATATATATATAATTCTTAAACCAACACTGCAAAGTAGCTATAATCTCAACTTTACAAATGAAAAATCATGATCTTTGTGAAGTTATCAAATGTTTTCTCTATTTGCTTAAGATTCTTCTAGCAATTCATTCATTTCAAGTCCAATAAGTGTCTTATCCCCAAACACAAGAGATGCAACTGGAAAGCAATAGACATTGTGTCTGCCTTCAGGGAGCACGTTATATTGTAGACTGTATTACAAAATAGTGTCATCAAACTATCACAGGAGAAAAGTAAACCATGACCACCTGACAGAGGCACCCAGGTTGGAAACAAAACATAAGGGAAGGTTACCTAAGAGACGTGTTATCTAAGCTAAGGCTCATGGAAGAGTTAGTAAAAACTGGAGTCAGGGAAAGAGTATTATAGAAAAAGAGAAATAGACTGTGCAAAGGCATAATGTCAAGGTTAAGTTTAGAAGAATATTGAACTAATTC